CGGATATCTTGAACTGATTAGCTGACTTACGATCGGTCTCTCGTTGCTGTTTGGAATGACTCACTTTCGCATAACGTAGTCCGCCATTATATTGAATAACGAATGAGAGAGCTGCTCGCCTTGGCGAACTCCATTGGTAATACTGAACCAGTCCGAGAGTGATCCTTCAGGTCAGACGGAGTTTTTAATGCTCTCTGTAAAAATCTTGCACTGCTTGAAGAATCCCTTGTTTGTCCCTCATTACAGTCCCGTTTTCTGCTTTGAGAGCTAAAATTTGCTCTTTTCCGATGGTCACTGTTTGATTTAATTTCTGCATACCGCGACTGTCTTCAGCAGTTTGTTTTACTATGTTCTGACGTCTTGTTTTATCCGTAATGTGTCAGGATATAACAAAGGCAACTACAAATACGGCAGAAAACCTCTACCGAAGAAAGTTTATGAAGCTTACCGGAAAAATCACGAAACGAGGAGAAATGAAGACAACAACAGAATAGAAAACAAGAATCGAATATGTGGAACTTTGCAAAACTTTGAGGAAGCAGATTATCGGTGGCGTATTTCCTAAACAGTCATGGTAGTGGAAATGGGCGATACATATTACAACCGTGCTTACAGTATTATATAGCCGGCATAATATTTAATATCTTATTTAAATCTTTCAGAAGCGTCCCGAAACTCGGTTGGGTCACGTACGCCGTTTTTTTGACGCTGGTCGCCATATCACGCTTGTACATCGCCGCCCATTTTCCGCACCAGGTTCTACTTGGGGTTATTTCCGGTACGACTTAATGTTTTTTTACTTTTTAATTTTTACTGTTTCTTTTTATTTAGGTATTTTATTGGCACTGCTCTTGCGCAACGTGGCTGTCGAAAACTGCACAACAATCTTCTTTATCTCAACTTCAGTCATCTTAATTCTAGCCGCTTTTCTTGTCAGCACTGTGATCCAGCTAACCGGCCTTGACCCTCACTGGTCGTTTTCTGTCGCTGAAAAGTATTGTCAAAGGCCGGAGTGGATTCATCTTTCGACCACGCCGTTCGCCACGTACTTTCGTGGTATCGGCGTCATACTGAGTCTGGGGTTGTGTGTTTTGCTAAAATCACCGGCGGTGTCAAATCGCCGATTTTTAACTAATTTTCAAAAGCTTGCTGTGTCTTTTGTAAATCTGGTCATTTCGAAATTGTTGTTTTCAATACCAGTGCACACTTTATCTCTTACTTTATTTTATTGGTCTTTCTTTGCACTGAATTTTTTAAGTACGTTGATTTACGTCGTTATAATTCCTCGGTTAATAGCAGCACTTTTCATTTAGATCTTCTGGTTTTCAGTCTTGCTTTACTCTCTGTTCGATTTCTTTTGTATGTAATTTACGTATTTTGTCGTCATGGTTAAATGTTTACTTATAGGTGCATCATGATTTTTATTAAAAGGAGATTACTATCATGTTCGAATTTTAGAAGTTGAATGCATTAAAGTATTCAAATCAGTTTATAGTCTTTTTAATAATCAAACTCAGGCAACCAATTTAGAAAACTGCATCAGATCATTCGTTTTTATAATGTTTTTGTGTTTGACATGCTCCATTTGCTGCATCCGTTTTAATTCTCAATGCACCCTCCTCATTCTTGGGTCACGTCGCTGCGTATCTGCCTGAAAAACTGAAACCCAATACGGCAGGGCTGTCTGTCATATCCAGAATCACCAAAGCCAGTCATTTTATGGTGCTTCAGCGCGATCGACGCTCGATCATGCTACACACTCCTAACGTCACCGCCGCTAGATGTGTCACAGGAGTTTAACAGGAATAAAACTTTTTCACTTCTTTTTTTGTGCTGATGCATTGCTGCATGTTTGTCCTATCGCTGAAAGAAATCAATTGTAGTTTTCAGCTACCCCTAAGGTAGCCTAAATTATGACATGCGAATTAAATTGCGCACCTTACTATATATGGTGAATGAAGGATATGACTCAGTAATGAACTTGACGCATAATCAGCTGATCAAGTGTGCACTCTGCTTACGTTTGCATGCGCGCTGGAAGATAATTTCATGAGCATTCGGCGATGTCATTCTTGACAAGGGTGTTTTTCGAGTCTCTGAAAAAGTGCAGTCAAATTTTGGAATAATTCAAATTCGAACTGAAAAAAATTTTGTTTAATCTGCACCGTCTTGTTCTATTTTCATTACATATGAATATCGCGAAGTAATGTACTCAAGATGTGTATATACGAATTAAGTTTGAAAGTACATCGATGGTCACAAACGCTTTCAATTTTACTGGGAAGAAATAGCAAAATAACACTGCACTGTATATTCAACATAATGGCCAGGCCAACAGAGGTAAAAGATGATTCGCTTCCGCAGATACGACGATATGCATACAGCAAATAGATCACTTGAAACAATGCGATAATGGAAGTATGTGGTTTCGGCAGGCCTATGAATCTCGCAGCGCAGCAAGAATAACGACAAAAGAAGGATGATTTAAATGAAAATACCGAGAAAGGCAGATCGAGGAAATATCGGTACACGGTTAGCTGTTAGAGCAACTTCGTTTAACTTATGAATATAAGCCGACTGAAATTGCTTAGTAACTATTATAACTCGCCTCAGTGCAGGCGTTGAATTTTCGAAACTGACGTCTCTGCCAAAAGGGTTTCAGTTTTCGCTGCCAGTTCATTGGTTTCGACTCTAAGTATGAACGAAAATTTCGTAACCATGAGCACGAAGTTAAGATCAAAGGCTACTATCAGCAGTTTACAACTAATGGATTCAGCTGTCGGGATACAGATTTAAATGAAATCTCACTATTTTGTCCAGATTAATCCTAGTTAAGCAATGAAGCAATTGTCAAAGTTTAAATGGTCATAATTTGCATCATGCATCATATGGTCGCGAAGAGGTTCTGCCTTACAGAGAAATCAAGATATAAAGTCTTTAACCAAAGTCATGAATGACACTACCATAGTAGTCAAGTAGCAGTCAAATTATGACACTTTTTTGTACTCTCTTGTACATACGTCATTATGTTCGCCAACGTCTGAAGGCTTGTCACGAACACGAATATTTTAGACTTTAAAGCCCAAATCTACTTCCTGCATGAGTCCGCCAACGACTATTTACCTCCATTTCAAGACCCGTATTAGAAGTGTGTTTTTACTGCCTAAAACAATAGTAATTGCTTTCGAAACAACTGAGATAATGTTTCTTATATATCTTTAAATTTCAACTTTCCACCAGATAATCTGATATCGCCTCAAGAACAACTTCTCTATTACCGCTCTTAATATGCCTTGATAATCTGCCGCATTGTTTATGGCAGAAATATTGGATTCTGCAAACATCGTCGAAAAGTTTGCTTCCAAAGGCACAAAGGATAACCTGAGGCTAGTAGATTTTTTGGTTCCATAAAAAACCGATAAAAGGGAGAAAAATTGTTATCCAATTGCAGCATTTGGTATGAGTTGGAATAAGTAATGATCACATAATAATAGTTTCCTGATGATCAGTAAAACCATTTAAGTCGATACATTGTTTTTCTTCACCATTATTAGACGTGTTTGCCACACACAAGAACTTCATCACACGAACTGTATTAGTATATATACAGAGAGCATTAAAGTTCTTTCTGTGGCAACCCCCCCCCCTCATAGCATATGAGTGAAGCTGTCTTTCGTGCGTACCGCGGTTTTGGGACCATTTCTTTCAGCTTATGTTCCACGATATCGCAAAATCTACTGAAATTTTTCTGTCTGGCTGTTGTGAAAAACTTGTTAACGGGATTTGTGTTTTTGAAACAGAAAATTTTCACTGTTCTCAAATATCACCGCCATTATGCATTGCCGTTCGGCCAATCAGAGAGTTTATTTTGCAGTTTAAAGCTTTTTCTGTACAAGAATATAAATGTGAAACAAAAATTCTTAGGACCTACCTTTGCTTCCGCTTAAACATCTGAACCACAAGAGGGGACAGTAATGTTTTACATTATTGAATGTACGCTTCTGTTTTTGTTGATAATCTCAAAATCTATCTAACAAACCTTGATGATCTTTAAATGAACGTAAGTTGCGTACTTGACAAGTTGAAACTTTTGAGTTCGTATTTAATTGTGATTTCGTCTATAGTTTGCTGATCATATTTCTAAAATTGCTTAGCAAAAACATCTGCTAATCATTGGCAAAAAATATCCTTTTCCCCGGACCGCATGCTCCAAGGCTGCTTTAAACGTGTAAGATCCGATGAAATGAAGTTCTAAAATCACCTGTTTCCTCCGTATTGCAAATTTCGCGGCAACATTTTCACATTCGTCTTATTTCTTCAAAATACGTGTTTGAATGAAATTGGTATGTCGCAGTTAATGTAGTTTGCGCCGTTTTTAAGTGACCGTTTGGTAACCGTTGCTTGTAATTGTTATGCAGTTGGCTTGTAGGTAATTCGAGTTAACGGTTTTTGTGGATCAGATGGTAATATATTTCTGACTTCATTTTTCCTTGCAAAAGAGGGTTTCCAATTTAGAGTATGTTGGGATGTGATGAAAGGCGGCTTCATTAGCTGGTTTGTACATCGGTTCTCACGGAATAAATTCAGATTCGACATTTTTGCGTGGCTTATAATCTCTTATGAAATCCAACAGCTGCATATGCATCTTTGCTCTTAATTAGGTCCTCTCGTATGATAATTTATTTAAGGTTCCGCTAGCAGTTTATTTAATATGTAAACAGTATATATGACGTTTAGTACTTCAAATATTGCGCCGTACCATGTCCATGCTGTGAGCAGAAATTCACTTCCCACAAGAAAACAAAAATGCACCCCTCCTAGAAATCAGTGGTACTTAATGACGGCGTCGAATCATATTGTTAAATGAAGTATATTACACTGCTTGTTACGCTGCTCCTAAAACATGGATTGAGAAGAGATTACCATTGACTGCTATTAAAATGGGCAACCAAACGATATCTTCTTTCGTACCTGTTATGAAGTAGCTATTAGCATACTGTAATTTGTATTATACATGAAGATTTGTCACCGTGATTGAAAAAGGTTACAATGTTATGGAAAATATCAATCATAATCTGCAGAATTGCATCGCATTGAATGATGCCCTATTCAATTTTAGACGCAAATATATGACTGTTTGTGAAGTACCTGTAATACATATGGTATATATTGCTACAAACGTTCGCGCTGCGTTTGTAGTGCAGTAGCTGCTCCATTATTTACAGTTTATCAGTAAAATATTACTGCACTGCAAATAAGTGCACTAAATGAATAATTTCTTTTCCACTGATGATGGAATATAAAACCCTTCATAGAAATCTTTGCTGCTGCGCAGTTCTTGCATTTATTTTGAACACCACTTATGAATTTACTATTACTTAAAATGCTTGTTTGCTCTGAATTGTTTACTTTTTACAGTTTTATTCCATGTTTTGAAAAAACTACGCATTTTCGCCATTTTTAAATTTGCTTTGACATCTATTATCGGTTTAGTTTTCTGATGGCGGGAATCATAGCCGTCATAAGCCCGGAGCGGCGGGTCGAACAAAACCCCTTTGATGTTGAGGCATGGAACCTGCTGCTGCGTGATGCTCAGGTAATTTTTTACATTTATGTGTTGGTTGACCCAGTATTTGAATTTTAACGTCTGAACAGAAAAGGTCGATCGACCAGGAAAGACCGTTTTACGAGAAGATCATCCAGCAGTTTCCAAACGCCGGTCGATATTGGCGGGCGTACATCGAACATGAG